AAAAAAAAAAAAAAAAAATTATGCAAAGAGTGCACCCATATATACCTTATCTTATACCATGCTACCATTTTTAAAACTGTGCGTATACATATACGGTCGGTCCTCCATATCCGTGTGTTCCATGTCTGTAGGCACAACCAACTGCAGATTGAAAACATTCAGGACAAAAGAATTTCAGAAAGTTCTTAAAAGCAAAGCTTGAATTTGCCAGGCACTGGCGACTGTTTACATAACAGTTACATTGTATTTACAATATTTACATTGTATTAGGTATTATAAGTTATCTAGAGATAATTTGAAGTCTATGGGAAGTTGTGCATGGGTTACATGCAAATACTACCCATTTTATATAAGGGACTTGAACATCCGTGGATTTTGGTGTCTTTTGGATACTAGGTGTCTAAATTATCTGTAATCTGCCTTTCTTTGAGGTGGACAGTTTTCACTGCAAATATTAATTTGAATATTCAATTAAGGATTTTTCATGGTCACATGTTCTTCCTTAGGATTAAGTAGAAAGCCAACATGTATATCATATATCATACAGCCAACTACGTGTAGTCATTTCCTTAATTTTAATTATTTTTATTATACTAAAAGTGGTACCTGAAGGTTTGACTTGGAAAGTGAGTTGAAAATCAACCAGGACTTTCATATTTGATGCTTGCAGTTGTCTTGTCTGCATCATTTCACTTTGTCAAAAATCACTGTTTATTTTGGAGAGTATTTAGAAGCAATATTGCTTCTTTTGAACATCATAGTATACTTACCTAGAATATCCCAGAGATGCAGTATCAGTAGCATGTTTTTTCTGTTTATAATGTTATTCTGCTACACATCTGTGGTTTAGCATGAAGCCTTTGGCTTAGGGCATGAAAAAAGTTAAGAATGAAGCGAAAAGAAAAGAAGGTTAAATAAATCATTTGAAACTATATATATATATATATATTTATAAATTTATTTATTTTATTTTTTAATTTTTGGCTGCATTGGGTCTTCGTTGCTGTGTTCGGGCTTTCTCTAGTTGTGGAGAGCGGGAGTTGCTCAGCAGTTGTGGCACATGGGCTTAGCTGCTCCGCGGCATGTGGGATCTTCCTGGGCCAGGGCTCGAACCTGCGTACCCTGCATTGGCAGGCGGATTCTTAACCACTGCGCCACCAGGGAAGTCCCTGAAACAATACTTTAATATCACTCTGCTCATGGTGGTCCCAGGTATTAGGTGAACTATCACTCACTATGAAAAAAAAGTGGAGGGGCAGGGTTACTGAAATGTTTAGTGTAATTTGATTTTTATGGTTATTTGTAATGCTCTCTTAAGAGTAGTATTTTAGATGTTGCATGCTTAAAGAGCTGCCTACTAGATCCTGCTTATTTCTAAGGCATTTCATTGCTTTTTAAAAAGTAAGCTTTCAAAATCAGTTACTAATTTTTTTGTGGCTGTTTATAAAGTAACTAAAATGCACTGTCAGATATCAAAAACTAATGCAGAATGATAAAGTTTAAATTGTAATTTTAATTTGACTTTTCTCTCTGAATCTATTTTAAGGAACTGGGACTTGTCATTACTGGAACTCTTCCGGTCTTCAACATAACCGGCCAAAATGAAAATAAGACAAACTTAAAGGTTAAAAGTTAATTGATAAAATTAATAATAATAAATGATAAGCTATGACGTTGAAGCTCAGTGTGGATAAGATATTTCTATAAGGAAATACATACAATGTAACTGTCTCGTGAGGCGGGAAGTAAAAGGCACCAGCTGCCTATGTGATAACCACCTGGGAAAAGGGAAATGCAGGTCAAGTTCTCAGTTCCCCAGAGCCAAGATTCAACTTAACTCTATTTAACTATGACTTGATGAGAACACAAGTTCAGACTCCGGGAGTAATTACATGATAAATGGACAGTACTATTGTGTGCACATTTTTAAATGCATCTAAGATATCCTTGGAGTTCAGAAAGAAAAATCCAAAGAAAAACACTATGGTGATGTTTGTATCAGGTGTATAGGTACATTTTTAGAATCACTGCTCCTCCAACTTACATTCAAAGGAGTTTTTTTAATTGTCATGTAACTTAAGGACCTGATTTAAATGATAGTTCTCCTTATTTATTTCTCTTTTTTTAAGATTCAGGAAAAATACTCAATGAGTTTCATTAAAAATCTTGATTTCTATAGTGCTGGTAATATTGTCAATGTAATATAATGCTACCAACTTGAAGTTCTACAGGTTTTGAAAAATATGTCTCTTGTACTTGTTAAATTGTCTCATTTTTTAAAAATACTTTTGATTTAAAAGTATGTTTACATTTCTGTTTCTTAGCTTACATAAGAAGGAATTTAAGAATGTGGGAAAAGTTAAGATTTTTCAATGCTAAGTACTCATTTTATAGTTCGGTTGACATTCCTGATTTGAGGGAAATTTATTTCCAGTTTATAAAGAAATGAAGTCAGTTGCACTAAAGTATTGTTTGTTCACTTACTATAAATGTCAGTGGAACTCCTTATTTTAATAATGTGGCCATAGAAAACATTGGTTATTCCTCTTTGGGGGCCCATTACCATTCTTAACTGTCTGCTGGTTCTAGTCATCATAACTCAGGAAGGGGTAATTCTCTAACTCCTCATGTAGATTATCTAAGGGATTGCTTAAATTTGGGGTATTTGCTTAGACTAGGGTTGATTTATGGGAAAAGAGCACAGCTGTTGACATTACTTTCTCGTTCTGTGTGCACCTACACAAAATTTAAAATGTTCTTGTGATAACTATTAACTGGATTTTATGATTTTCTTTGTAACATTTTGATTTATAATTTATATAATTACATTTAAGATGAAAATTCCTGATTCTAAATTTTAACACCGTTCACATCCTGTGTCCCATAGAAGATTATGATAACAGTTTACCACATGGCCTTTTTGATTTGCAACTAGAACTGTGATGCCCATTGTTTGGTATTTAGAAGTTAGCAGCAACAAGAAATAGTGTTGTAAGAATTTCTGCTGTTTTATTACAAATAAGGTCACATATTGTACTTTTCATGTATACATAGGTATTATCAATCCATGGTTTTCTCATTCCATATTGCCTAATTAACTTTAAACTGGACATTTTTGTGATTTCTTAATCATAGCATACCAAAAATTTAGTTTACACTCACAAACACACACACACCCCTACAGCTGCTGACTGTACAGCAATTAAAATAAGTATTAGTAGAAGAAGTATCAAATTTAAAATTTCATATGTCTTTTATACTTTAGCTTTAATCATCAAGATTTCACTTTTTAAGCTAAATAATAATGATACAGTTGTGGGAATATAATCAAAGCTGAGAATCATTGCAAGTTGATACCAAAAGTGCCTCACCCTTACATATATATATGTTTAAGCTAGTATGGAATACAACCATTGTCAAGCAGAAGGATGAACGTATATAATAATTGTGTAGAACTATGTAAATTTTCGGTAGAAAATACACTGCCTTTTGCTGTCTTATTATAGAACCAGCTGATTCTTGGTGTGATGGGAGTTGATGTGTCTTTGGAAGATATTAAAAGACTGACACCACGTTTTACAGTAAGATGCAATTTACTCTTTTGGTAACTTTTCTGTTTTAAAACTGTATGAATTTAGCTTGTTTTCAAAGCACTTAAAAGGAATTCTCAAAAATTTTGTGCCGTTATCTTAGCAAAGGAATTAAATATTTAAAAGGATGCTTAAAAGAGTGTAAAGATATCACGTTATCTTTCTTTATGCTTTAAAATATGTATTTAAGAATTTTTTTTTTTTAAAGAATGTGGATTTCTGATTGCGACTCAGGAATCTTTAAGGTTGTTTCTTATCATTTTTCAGCTGTGCCCCAATGGCTATTATTTTGCAATTGATCCTAATGGTTATGTTTTATTACATCCAAATCTTCAGCCAAAGGTATGTATATAATTTATTTACAGTGATTAGCATTCTGTAAAATTAATGATTAATGTTCTTAAAAGGTTCATCATTTTTAAATTCACTATACAGCACTAAGTATAAAGGAACTTTATACCTGTAACGTTAATAGATGACAAGACCACAGTTTATAATATATGAAGGTGTGAAAACAGTTTTCATTTTCTCTTACCTGTTTAGTTCTGAAATGTTTCTGTCCGCTATCCAGTTAACCACTACTCCTATCTCAAAGGCAGCCATTTTCACCTCCTGGGCCTGAGCTTCACACATCCCACTTGGTATTTTGATTAGGCTGTAAGGTGGTGAAGGAGATGGCCTGGATAGGTGTGAACTTGAGAGCATTATTCATGTTCCTCTATGTGTAGGCCATTTGCATTGCCCTTTTTCTTTCTGGTAATTATCTCCCCTTTCCATCTGCCAGGCTTATAAAGATATGTATGCAATTCAAAAAGAAAAAGTCAAATGGGATGGGCTTCAGAAATGAGAAGGGTTTATTAATCAGGGAGTTATATGGAAGTGATAAAATACCATACATGAACCATTTTATCCTAATCTTTATGCCTGTGTTCCCAAGATATAAAATACTTTCCTAAATGTCTCATCCAACTCATTTCACTTTTCATTAATGCTTCACAGGTTAAAAACTTTATTTATCCAGAAGTAAAATTGGCAAGACCTTATGTATTTTTAATTTATAAGCATCTTCAAGTTATTGTTTAACTTTGAAGATAATATTAAGGATACTTTAAACCATGCTGGATGGAAATATATACAGACTTATGCATATTATTTCCTTCTCCCCAGGCATGGAGATTTAATGTTAGTGATGTTTTAGGACACATACAAGTATGTATGTGCATACACACACACACACACACACACACACACACACACACACACAAAGTTGGGTCATTAAAAACTGTTCAAAAAGTAATAATTAAGAACCATTAATATTGAATGTAAAAAAATATTAAATGGTTATAATTAATGTCTATATTTTATTTCTCACTTTAGAACTTATTTCCATATAAAATCCATCATGATCTAAATATTTGCTAATTGTATGTAGCTACTGATCACCCTGCATTATTTTTAAAGTTGTTATTTTATTGTAAATGTAGTATAAGTATATTTTCACATTATTATTAGTCTATCACAGCTCTTTGAAAACATATGTTAAGTTCCTCTTAGAGTTGTTCATGATGGGCTAATCATTCTAAGATTTTTCCATAATTGAAAATTTTTAAGTCTTTTTAAGAGTTTTTAAAATTTACAGTATTATTTTGTATTATGTTTGTATATCCAGTGTATTTTATATTATATTCCCGTAAGTAAAGTGATTTAAATGCAGTGATAATGTAATGTGCTGAAGGGTGTGAAGGATCCCTACTTTTACATAGTTGAACATTTTATGATTGTAAGTCTTAACTCCTTCCCCAGAAAGAACTAAAATATGTCATAGACAAAATAATAAAAAAGAATAATTAGAATAATCACGTATGATGTATATATATAAAACCATCATTTAGAGATAATTATTTGAAAAGGGTTTTCCCCTTTTCTGCATTCTTGTACTAATAATCAGTATTTATGTAGAAAGTATTTTATTACTATTTGAATGCTGTTAACATATATTTGACTCATATTTGGAATAATCAATTTACTAAAATTCGTAAAGTTACAAAGAAAATATAAATTCTTTAGAAATTCTTATTAAAGCCCAGGTGATTTTTCTTCAGGATTATGTTAGCTTTTCATATTTTTAATATAGGAGATTATTATAAACAAGTGTGCAACAGAAAAAACTTTTAGAAAAAATATTGTTTTAGAAAACCATTAAAAATCAAATGTTTGAACAATCAATGTATTATTTTTTTCGGAAATTCATGCTTGTGAATTAAATATGCTTATCAGTTCTCATCATTAACAGGTTAAATATTATAATTTCTTTTTGTGGGTGACAGTGCTTGCTATACAGAGAGATACAAGAACTGATAAAGGATGATATAGTATAAGATAGTTGTTTTAGAAATTGACAAACATTGAGGACCAATATGGTTAGAGTAGTATACTAACAAAATTAATCTTAATTTTTTCATCCAAAATTCACCAATAGAAATAAAGGAAAATAATGCTACATTCCATAGTACCCATTATTATTTAACAAAATCAAAGTCTAATCTTACACAGGTATCCTTTGCTGAATGCCTTTTGTTTTCTTTTTGAAACTGTAATCTTAATTCACATTGCTTCAATACAATTTTGAAGTTTATAGAAGGCAGAACAAGTGTCCTAAAGCCAAGAATATCAGAAAATAAAGTAGCTATGAATCTTTTGCATATCTAATTTTCTGAGGAATCATTACTTATCTTCTCAGAGAGACTTTTCAAAGTCTCCACCATGACCACATTTTGACAACTGCTGAATTATGTATCCTCCTTTATTCCAAAATGCATTTGAGAGTTCCTCCGTTGTGTTTCAATGAAATAACCAGATTAGGTATACTTATTAAAACCTCATTTTTATCAGTCTAAAGAAATATTTATTGTATAGGAAATTGTGCATAATTTACATTTTAGAAGTCCATATTTAAAATAAACCTACAGTGTTATGACTGAATTCTTCATTTGTTCCATGGATGTAACATTTGATGTCACTAACAAAGGCACAAATTTTAAGCGTTTAAGACTGACTTTTTAATATCCTATCGTATTTATATTTTAACACGTTTGAATCATATACATTCTAAAGAATTCCTGTTATTTCCTTTTTTTAAATCACCATAGGGAATTCTCCGACAGTCCAGTGGTTCGAACTCGCCGCTTTCACTGCGGTGGGACTGGGTTCGATCCCTGGTCAGGGAACTAAGATCCCGCAAGCTATGGGGTGAGGCCAAAAATAAAATAAAATCAGCAAAGAAGTTGCATGAGACAAACCATCTTTCTCATTTCCTGCATTCTCACTTCTTTTTTCCCTAGGAATAAAAGGAAAATATTAGTCATTTTGCTAAAAAAAAGTTTGAGCATTTTTACTAGCAATACATATTTTATTCACTAAAAATATTTTTGAACTTTCATTTATTGACTCATCATGAGCTTGATGATACCTGTTTCTGATCGAGGAAATACCTGACCAAAATTGATGATAGGATAGAACGCTTACCCATGTTGATATGTAGTATGATGAATTACCATCTTTCTGTTGCTTCAGCCTATTGGTGTAGGTATACCAACAATTAATTTAAGAAAAAGGAGACCAAATGTTCAGGTAACTGTGAATGAAGTTAGCAGTGCCTTCAAATTTGCTAAATCAGAGTTGCAATTAAGCTTCTCTTCCTAAAAGCTTATGATTAATGCTGCCTTTCCTGACAGCAAGCTTCCAGAGCATGAGATGGAGATGAGCATCATTTTTCAATAAGCCAGAGCAAAAATGTTATTAATAATGGCAGAGGGTATGCATTTGCTGACTAAAGATTGCTAGCAAATGATGTAATAACAATTATAATCCGAGTAATCACAATTAAATGGCTTCCAGAAAATAAATTTGTTATTAAATATTGTGAAGTTAGTGTCAAATCCTTGTAATCCTAACAATTTGCTTGTAAAATTAACGTCTTAGTGGAAATAAAAATACAATTCTAATATATAATTTCTATAAACCACACAATGTAACCCAAAATTTCTTTGGATTTCTAAGTGTATTTTCAGATTAGCAGTTAGAGGAAGTTCCCTTCACCTAATTAAAAATGTCCAAAATTGCAAATAAGTATTATCTGTCAAACTTACTGCAAAATCTTTTCTCTGATGGAAACATATTTAAACATTATTCTATGTATGCTTATTTCTATAAGTGCACTAAAAATAATCAGCAAAAAAGGATACTTCCTATAGTTTAGTAGAATTTAGCAAGAGCATTTCAAAATTTCAGAGAAAGTTCAATATGACTTAAGGTTTTCTGTGTAAGCCCTTCATTTCTTTTAAAAAGTTGGTAACATTATAATGGAGAGGTAGTGTGATATTAAGAGATCATTAAGCCATGAATTAGTAGAACTGAGTTCCAGTTTGTTCTACTTATAGCCAACACTATATCCTTGAGTAGTTCACTAAACCCCAAAGTACTTCAGTTTCTTCATCTGAAAAGCAGGAAGATTAAACTAATAATTGTTTCCTGTCCTACACAGTATATTCCTAGGAAATTGAATACATATATTGATCCCCAGCTCCATCTCCTGAAAATTCTGATTTAATTTGACCAGGGATGGGAGCCGGGCTTCTGAAATAGTTTTAAAGTTCCCAGGTAATTCTAAAGTACAGAGCCAATGGAATAGAAGCTTCAGTTTCCTTCTAGCTCTAGAATTCCATGACAATCTGAATTTCGTGTTGTTGCATCAGTCTCCCATTTCTTTTGTGATTCCTGTAGAGGTTAAAATTATGTTTATGTCTTTTCTTGATTTATTAAATTGTTTTATGTTACTCCTCTTGCATGTTTCTTTTTGTGGATTACCTTGGATTATATTCATTGCAGTCATGTACATTTTAGTGAACTTTTAGTTTTGCCGTACTTTCAAATATTGCATGTAAATATTGTGATATAATTTAAAAATAAACAACCTGAAAAATGGTTTGTTTTATTTTTGTTTTCCTTCCAAGGAAACTCCAGATGGCAAACTAGCAACCACACAAGACGTCTGAACTTGGAAAATATTTTTTGAGCTATATAGTATTTTTAATACTACTACTAATTACTTCAATTTAAAATTTAACAGCATTGCCTTGTGCCTTTTATTTTAGTTCCACAAATGGTATGGTCTTTATATCAGTTGATATTCAAATTTTACAAATGAGAATTGTTATTTATTTAAAACATCAAACAAAAGTACTGGGAGTGCAGGGACTGGAATCCAGTTCTCAAGCCTCTCTTCGTGCTTTCTGATGAGAAGAGTTCTGCTTTTGAATTTTTCAGTCACTGTACCTGTAATGAGTCTTTTAAAAAATGGTCAGCCAGATTGCCATTTAAAAAGTACAAGTGATGCATTGACATTTTTCTTTTATGATTTCCTTTTCCTGTCTGTGTCTTTGTATGTTGGATTGGGACGTGATCCTCATATTGCCAATTCTTCCTGATAATGCCTCCTCCATGCATGCTGTTTGGGTCTGATCATGCTATGCATTATCCATTGCATGTAAGATAATATTCTTATTTATGTTTATATTTTATCATTTTATTTTGACTTTGTTTTGTGGTGAGTTAAAATTTTAATACCGATGTGAGGGTGTTTGTGTAAAGATAATTTATTTCATGAGACTTTAAGCAATTCAGAATAATTTGTCAGCTTTAGAGTATCCTTTTGATAGAAGCTTTCTCAGTTTTGTTTTTTAAACAGGACTAGAATTATTTTCAATGCTGATTTTTATTTTCTTCTTATAAAATATTACTTTTCCAAAGAGTATTTGCTTGTGAGCCAATAAGATGCTGCCTAAACAGTGATCAGTATTTTTACCTTTTGCACAATCTAATACTTACTTTCAATATTCTGGAACCTTGTGAATCTAGATATGAAGTTCATAAGCAGTGAATATTTTTTTAATAAAAATGCCAGGCACAGTTGGATTTTTTGGGGTTTTTTTTAATTTGCCTTTAAGAATCCCCATTCATCAAAACCAATGGGAATCATATATTTTCATTATTTAAATGGAGCTACTCTTTGAAGGCATTTTTGTCTTTATTATAAAATAAATACATGCCATGTATACCGTGTAATTCAGCATTTGAAATAAATATGTTTAATTTTAATACATTTTTAATTATTGGCATTGTCTTGGGTAGTCAGCCCTACTAAAACAGTATTTAAAATAATGATGATCTGAATGTATTTTGGAAGAGCCTGTGAAGCTGAAATTTTTAAAATTCCAGTGACCTTGCACTAATACAGCATAATTTCTATTTATTTATTACTTCTATCTAATTAGTTATCATGTATTGATGGTATTTATTTTAGTAAATATTAAAAATCCAGTTTCTAAATTTTTACAGTTGTAAAATAATAGACACCTATTATGATTTTATGTTCTATTGAACTTTGAAATTCCACTATGGCGTGTTACATTACTTAGTAAGTGTTGTAAGAGAATAGTATATTTTTGTTTATCAGATATTTTGATATCCTCATTTTATGATTGAGAAATTTTTTAAATGTCATGTGAGGTAAATTTACCAGGTTAACAGTTTCATTTGATATGTTTATGTAAATAAATAATATGCCTGTTCCATAGTGAATTTGATTTCTTATTACACACCAGCAAGAAGCAGCAGTAGGACGTGTAAAGCAGGAAAACAGTATTTAGTGAACCTAGGGGTTATTATTCAAGTTAGACTTCAATCACAATAGCTAATCTTTATTAAAATCCTTATGACTTTACCATAAATTTTATCTTACAAAATTGACTTAATTTGACTCATTAAAATATATTGTAAAATTTCTGAGTTTCAAATACATGAAGCAAACTTGAATCTTTTCTTTATGCATTTGAAGAAGGAAAAATAAATTTAGAAGAGTTTGTTCTCCTTAGCAAATTCAAACATTTCTAAAACATTTTCCCTCGTATAATTTTATTTTTTATGGAATACAAATAATGTATATTACTTACACATTGCCTTTGTTTTATTGCCAAATATGTTATCCACATGGCTGTATTTTGCTCCTTTCACATCCCAATTAAAGATAAAATCTGTAAGTGGATCTTCAAAAGTCATATTGCCACAGAATTTATGATTATAAATGTCCTATCTAACACAGGACTCAAAACTCTTCAGTTGGTGATTAATCAAAATTTGTCTGCTATACTTAAAGCTCAAATCCCTAGCCTACTTCTTATTATTTTTAAATATATATGAAAGAATATACCTTTAGATAATTATTTTGTCCACTTTTTAAGATACCTTTGGTAAGTAACTTTTATGGAATTAATTTCGTATTTAAATATCTATTGAGTTATTCTGTATACATCATCATTTTACCATGTCATATATGCTTAATTACTATTTTCTGTGTAGAACCCCAAATCTCAGGAGCCAGTAACTTTGGATTTCCTTGATGCAGAATTAGAGAATGATATTAAAGTGGAGGTGAGTGCAATCAGTCAGCTTGAACAGCACCCTCAGGTCAGATGCTGGTGTCCTTCCAGTCCACAGGGATCTGTTGAGCAGCTTCATTGTGTTGGTTCTGTCTTAGGTACTATACACACAAAGATGAATGTTTTTTATCTTTAAAAATTTCTAGATCCTGGGCTCTCTCATCCGAAAGATCATATGAAAAGGAATAAATATTTTAAATTGGGTGTGACCTTAGTTTTTTCTTTCTCCTTCCACAGGTAGAGTTATTTTCAGTATTTCAATACAAATGTAACTTGTAAATTTCAATAAAAAACATAGAGAGGGGGACATTGCCATAGAGTTGAAAGCAAAGTTTCAGGGAATTTAATCATCCAACCACCCAATAAGCAACATGAGGAAAAAAGCTGCCATGTTTGTCTTAGTACTCTATACTCAGAAAGTTTCTATTTTATTTCTAAACCAAAATTGCATGCCACTTCCTCCGAGAGGGCCTTCCATAATAATAGGGATAATCATTAATAATAACATTTATTGAGTACATGATATGTGTCAGTCATGGATTCTCAAGAGTCTTTGAATAGGTACATTGTTATTATTATTATTATATTTGTTGTACTGATGATCTGTTTGAGGTACAGGAGGTTAAATAGCTTATCTCCAGTTACTCAGCTAGTAAGTAGCAGAACCAGGATTTGAACCTGGCTCTTGCACTCCAGAGCAGAGATTTTTAAGATTCTTTCAGATGAATTAACTCCTTCTCTTATCTATTCAAAGGCCACCATATTTCTTTTACAGTTTGTCACAGTGTGTTTTAATTTGTACTTGCTTTACACACTTTATAACCTTACTCCCTCAATGTAGAACAAGAGAATCTATTTATCATAGTTAACCTTAGACTGAGGCATAGTGCTGGGATGTTTTAGGTAAATAATGAATATTTGTTGTAAAGTATTTTGACAGGATAAAGTAGGATCACGTAATGGTGAAGAGCTTGGTTTCTGGACTCTCATGCCACTGAGTAACTGTAATTATATTTAACCTCTCAAGTCTCAATTTCCTCTCCATCAATTCCATAAAGTAATTGAACACTTTTATTAATTACATTTCAAAAATTAATGACTGGTTGAAAATATTTCATTAAGAATGTTTTTATCATCTTAAGATAATGTAAAATAATGATGTGGTAACTTTTAAAAGAATATTTCCACATTTCAGTAGGTCAGTTTAGTATCTGCTATAAAGTAATTGTTTCAATTCCCCTTAGATTCGAAATAAAATGATAGATGGAGAAAGCGGAGAAAAAACATTCAGAACCCTGGTTAAATCTCAAGATGAGGTAAGAATTAAGTCAGGTTTATTCTTAAATTAAAATGTATATATTAATAATGATTGATATTAGTGGTAAAGCAATATTTATTCATAAAAAGGGACATTTCTAGAAAACAAAAATTGTTTAAAGCACTCTTTGCTGGAGGGATATTTTTAATAAGATTTTTAACTCTGAAATTTTTATAAAATGTTGCTTTATATTTGATGTATAGAAGCAACACTGTGTAGTTGTTATAAAATGAACTTGACATCATACATTCTCCTTCATCCTGCCGACTAAAGTCCTCATTTCTTCATCAGTAAATTGTGGAAAAGAATAGTATTTCATTTACTCCAGGGAGTTGATTAAATGATACAATGACTGTAAAATGTCTAGATATTGCCTAACACCAAGTTATATTCAGTGAATATTATTGTTCTGATGAGGATGATGAAGCTGGTGATAACTAAAAATACTAAAAGATACATATGTGTCATCACCATACCTAATGGAAGAAGTAATGATCATTTCTTTACTACTGTTCAGTAGCTCCATAAGAAAGATTCAATATCCATGAAGTTATTTAGCTCTTACTTCCTTTCCCTAGTGGATATAGTTGTCTTTCTAACCTTCAGTGATACTAAGTAATTAGTCTCTTATAATAGATAAGTACTATAATAATAGCTTAATAAGAACAGTAATGTGCTAACCATACATTTGGGTCTAGACACAGTGCGTTACTTTCCTGATATTATCAATTTCTCTTCAACATACCCTACTATGGAAATATCTGAGCATTATCTAATACTTCAGTCCTGTTTCAATATTAAAATGTATTTTTCAGGAAATTTAAAGTTTTGAGGTTAATAATTTGGCATAAATTACTAAGATTTTGCACTTAAACATCCTTAAAATTTATTATGTAGGTATTTTTTTCCCTAAAATGTTGCTTTACACACACACACACACCCCATAACAGAATATATAATTGTAGAATAGTATAGATCAGATATTTGTGAAGAAGGGTATTGAATGATGACTGAATTTATAAATAGAGACTAGCATTCTGCTCTTCATATAAATTCACTTCAAATGAAAAGTGATGATAACCATGTCCAACTCTTTTTTTTTTAGAGGTATATAGACAAAGGAAACAGGACGTATACATGGACCCCTGTCAATGGCACAGATTATAGGTAATTAACCTTATTTATTTCTATGTGTGCTGTATAAAAGAATGTTCAGTGCCTTTCACCTATTTTTATTTTTTTTATTTATTTTTATTTATTTATTTATTTTTGCGGTACACGGGCCTCTCACTACTGTGGCCTCTCCCACTGCGGAGCACAGGCTCTGGACACGCAGGCTCAGTGGCCATGGCTCAGGGGCCCAGCCACTCCGCGGCATGTGGGATCTTCCCGGACTGGGGCACGAGCTTGCGTCCCCTGCATCGGCAGGCGGACTCTCAACCACTGCGCCACCAGGGAAGCCCTTGCTGAGCATTTTTTGTTTTGTTGCTCTAAGGTCACCGCTTTCCCTGTGGTCCTGCTTCCTACAGCCTCATAATACTGAGGCTGTTACGAAAATGTCCTTCTTGTTACTTATTCTCTCTTCCTCCTCTCCCTAACACCTCCCATCTTTGGATCTCATGTCACCAGACCATACCACGCACCATTCTTCCCTTTGAACAGTCATCTCCCTCTGGTTCCTGTAAGATATCAGTTTCTGTGTGGTTGCCACCCTCTCCTCCATTCACATGGATCAGTGTTTCTCAAAATATTTGAGACATACCCACGCTTATATAAAATAAAATGAAAATTGTTTACTAAAATAAACTTTAAAAGAGATGAAAACTCAAGTGGAAAAAAATGTTTATTACATTTCATAGACATGAAATTCATGTGTCAGATTGCTATAAAAATTTCTAAATGCTTACTCTCAGTTTCTATGCTTAATTAATCAAGAGCTGGTAATAGATAGTTTGCAAGTGGGCCAGGCCCCTTGACACATTTAAATACCAGTAACGTAGATGATTTTTCTGGTGCCTGGACTCTCTCTTTTTTTTTTTTTTTTTTTTTTTTTTTACTCCTCCCCTCTGATGATCTTGTCATTCCCCTATCTTAGCTCCCTACTCCAAGGTCATGTTTTACAACTCTAACATTAAGACTGCAAGTCCTACATAATCTTGAGATTTTTTTTATCCAACTCTCAGAGTAATACATTTTAGCTTTCCAACCCCTCCTTCTAATAGTCCAACGGCAACAATCCTTTGACTCAATTGAGACCTGAAATCCATCAACCCCTTCGACCTTTCACTGTCCTTGCCTTCCTCACGTCCTTGTACCCCTCTTTATTCAACATAAATTCTTTGGGTCTTACTACGTTTTTTTTTTTTTTTTTTTTTTTTTTCAATCTCCTCCCCTCTGATGATCTTGTCATTCCCCTATCTTAGCTCCCTACTCCAAGGTCATGTTTTACAACTCTAACATTAAGACTGCAAGTCCTACATAATCTTGAGATTTTTTTTATCCAACTCTCAGAGTAATACATTTTAGCTTTCCAACCCCTCCTTCTAATAGTCCAACGGCAACAATCCTTTGACTCAATTGAGACCTGAAATCCATCAACCCCTTCGACCTTTCACTGTCCTTGCCTTCCTCACGTCCTTGTACCCCTCTTTATTCAACATAAATTCTTTGGGTCTTACTACGTTCACTCTCTTACACATACCCTCAACTCCCTGCATCATACTTAGGTTTGGCAAACAGTAGTTTGACCAATCCCAATCCTGGTTAAATTATTACTAACACCACACTGCACCCACACAGCTACAAATGGGAGAATTAAAATATTCCTTGACGGGTGACATCCAAAATTCAGGACCTTTAACCTTAAGTGTACTTCAGTAGTGCCTGCTGATCTCAATAGTCCAGTAAATTTAGGATGCTTCTAGATGACTTTTGATAGCCTCTCTTCACTCCTCAAACGCGTCTCTTTCCCATCCATTTTTCTCTCAGGTGATGTCTTCTGTTTTTCTCAGTGAAATAGGAAGCAATCAGAAGAGACCTTCTACCACATAACGACTTGCATCTATATCTCCGTCTCCTATCTCTATTTCTATTCACAACACAATAACAAGAGTGATATTATTAATACTTGAGTTATATTGTTTCATTTCTCTAGTCAAAATTCTCCAATAATTTGCTATCTTAATCTCTATAAAATCCGAAGTTTGTCATGACCATTAGAGAACGTACAGCGTCTGACCTAATTTATCATCAGTTCTCTGAAGTTACCTTCTCATGTTCTCCACTGAACCACTTTCATGTTAGAGCTACACTATCCTCCTTGCTAGTCCTCATAAACCTGGGACCATTCTGCCTCAGGACCTTTGGACCTGAAGTTATTTCTGCCTAGGATGAATTTTCCCCAGGTATTCACATGCTTACTCCATCTTCACACCTTCCCTTACTTTTTTGTCGCCTCACTAAGGCCTTCCCCAATAATCCTACCTAAAATGTAAAGTGCTTCATTATCATTTGATATTATATATGTGTATATGCACATACACACACATATATATGAAGCATATATAAAGAAATTTATTTCTACTGTTTATTGTTCGTCTTCCTTCACTATAAATTCTAAAAGGGCAACGTTCTGAGATTGTTAGACTCTGAGATTCTAAGATTGTTGCCTGCTTTGTTTATTTTTGAATCCTCAGCTCATAAGTCAGTGGCACACAGTAGACATTTTGTAAATATTTACACAGTTAAATATTTAGATTTTCAATTTGTCTCATTCTGTCAAATCCAAATAATAGTTTCCAAACTTCCATTGCAATACTCAAATATGAGGGCCTCTTTAACTACATAATTAATATACAGTTAATATGTAGCCTAGTTAATAGGCTGTGGTGGACTCAACTGTTCTTTTCCTAATAAAACAAAACAACACTCCTCCCCCCTCTGCCCCAGAACATACACATAACTTTTCAGGGGAGCCTAGAGTGCTGGGGATTCCCCTAGAGCTGTAGTGGGTTGCTAGCATGGCATGCAGACTAGGTCTAGAAGAGGGGCACACGCTTACCAATGTCATGAGACACTACCTGCCAGTCTTTCTCCAGTTTTCCAGTTTTTGACATAATTTTGAACCTATTGAATAACACCAGAATGAATGTTTATTTTACTTGTGTCTCTTGATTTCTCTCTCTCATTTCTATTAGGCATCTCTTTACTCATATACAATCTTTATGTACATACCTAAGTAATTATTTTTCTTTCCGTTTCCATGGTTATTACCACCTTTCATTTTTTTGGATAAACTTGTCAAAAGGTGTCACAGCCAACAGGAAATCTGGGAGCCCTGTCTCATCAGCGATGATTTCATGATAAAAGGAAATGTTGGATGCACATGTGGGAAAGTGCTCTCTGCCTTTGTTTCTTAGACAAACAAATTCTAAGTTAGAAAAATCATTTCTTTTTGACCCTGACAGTGAGTCAGTCTGATGGTTGGTCCTACTGCAGTCATAATTATACTCTGGGGGAATTTTAAATTCTTACTATACCTTACTTAAATATGTTTTTAATAGTCTCACAAATGTCTCCTGCATTCATCCCCTTTCCCTCACACACCAAGTTGTAATACAGGTGGCCAGATTGATGTTCTTTTCTCCAGTTCTGAGTACGTCTCTCCTTGTTCACAAAACTTTAGTCTCTTTCCATTTTTATCCAAGTTTGGATTCCAAGTCTGAAATTCACACCACACATTTCTAGCCTAACTTGTCTGCCCTGTCGTTTCCCCCACTGCACTGCACTACCCATGCAAACCACTGTTCTCTGAACAAGCCGTAACTTCATACCTTTGCATGTTTTCTTCACACATTCTCTTCACAAATCTACAACTCAGAGCCAGATTAAATCTATTTCCATTGTAAGTACTCCCCTGAATCTCCGTACAAATAAATCCACGAATAAGCTAGAACAACATATTACATCTAAATTGAAGGGGGAAAATGGCAGTGTTTTTATTTAATGAATTAGGTATCAAATTTCACTTAGTGATTTCTGTCTCCTTAAGCCTTGATATAACTTGATATAACATATTTTGAAATATAGTAGTTATTTTAACAGAATGTTCTCTTTTTTTTAATGAAGTTTGATTTTTATGGTGATATAAATGAGTTGAAAAGTGTGTTATGTTCCATTTAACTAAGTTAACCATGTTTATGGGAGTCACAAAAATATTGCATGGGCTGTATCATCCATCTGGTGGCCACTGGCTTTATTAGACTTTTATTCCTGGGAGAAAATAAAGCAGACTTGAGTTGTTGGTTTTATAAGGAGAGAGACAGCAAACACTGCATATGGCAGCATCCTTGACTCAGAATGTTGATTGAAGAGCTTATCTGCTATAGGTTGAAGAAATAACTGTTGCCTGAAGAAAAAAATCATTAAATTATGTGTAACCATATTTTTCTATAAAATAAAGTATAGCTATTAATAGCAACCTGAGACTTGCAGGCCAATAAAATGTATATTCGATATGTCAGTTTTAAAACGTCTATTTTGTTCCTCATGGGTTTCCACACTGTTTTTTATGGTACATGAGATGTAACCCAAGCTTACAGTGTGACACTGTAGCAGCCACATGATGTAATGTTATCGGTCTTAATTTGAAGTTTCTCTTAGCAATAAATGCTGATAGGGCAATAAAAATGTCCTAATTTCCCTTGAGAGGCATTTGTGGGAGACAGTCTTCAAATGCTCACTAATTCTGCTCTACATTTTATAAATGGCAAGTGAATCATGAAAGGTCATCTTGCTTTCAGACTAATTGCACTGCTTATTTTAATTTTAATCTCTGCCTCCCCTTAAAGGAAGTTACCTTTAAAATGAATGTGGAGATTTTCATTAAATCTACATAACATTTTATTTCTCTGACCTTTTCCCATAAGGAAAGTTTATGAATTACTTAATGATGGAGAAAGATTTGGGAATTGGAGGTAACAAGCATCCACTTATTTTGCTATCTTGACTGCATAATTAAATTGTAGCAAATAAGCCCTTGCATTTTTCCTCTTCATAGAGTGAATTTTTAGCATATATTCCTAAGAAGAAAAACCTGGAATTCTATATTTTGTCCTGTTCTATATTGCTCATAAAAAATGTATAACAGCATTACACTTTGGACATCCATCCTCAAAGCCTGGGAAACATGAGGCTTGAGTGATTTAGGCGAAGATCTTCTGCAAATGCCTAGAAATACTCAGAAGCCTAGAAATGCACACATTTTTCTGTGCATTGCTAAATTTGGGGTTAAATTGTAAAAATGAATGCTGAGGGCTTCCCTGGTGGCGCAGTGGTTGAGAGTCCGCCTGCCGATGCAGGGGACATGGGTTCGTGCCCCGGTCCGCGAAGATCCCACATGCCGCGGAGCAGCTGGGCCCGTGCGCTATGGCTGCTGAGCCTGCGCGTCCGGAGCCTGTGCTCCGCAACAGGAGAGGTCACAACAGTGAGAGGCCTGCGTACCACAAAAAAA